GCAAAGTGCCCCCGGGACGCCGCGGCAGCCCCCCCATTCAGCGCGTGGGGCTCTGACCCACGGCCCCACGTACCCCGGGCCGATCCCCACCAAAGGGCTGAACGCAGATCTCCTGAGTCAGCCCCTACAGCAAAAGCGAGCAGCTCGCTAAATCCCTACCAGATGAGTGATGCATCATCAAATAAAGCCCAGTATCACAACATTAACAACATTTATTTTCGGGCTAAGCTGCAGCCTGGGCTTTTGATACCAGTAATTAAAGAAAATGGTTCATCTGTTCGCTTCTTCGCATCCCTGGAGCCAACTGTCCGTGTTTTGAAGCCCTGGGTTATCATTTTTTTTTTATCACAGCCTCCCGAGGAGGGGGATCACGCTGATCCACGCACCCTTTTTCCATCCCAGGAGCGGTGCAGCACGGCCCAAGCCCACAGCAGAGCCACGTTCAGGGCAGCCGCCCCGCTCGGGGTTTTTTTAGCATTGAAATAAAGAAGCATCAATTGCTCAAAGACAAATTGCTGCTCCGGTTGGTACCTGAAACCAGCAGAATTAAGGAGAAAGGCACCAGCAAGAAAGAGCACCAGGTCCCCCTCCCCGAAACCACCTGTCCCCGGGAACAGCAGCACCAAGCAGCCTCCGCCTGTTTTCCGAGGGGGTTGGTTTTGCCTCCAGGTTTCAGGCTACGGCTCCGAACGGCTTTTAATGCTGTTTGCCACACTTTCTCCTCTGCCCTGGGAAAGGAGCAGGGAAGGCACCCGCCAAAGCCCCGAGCCGGGCAGCGATGCCCTTCCAGAGCCCCAGCTGGGAGCAGCAAACCCGGAGCACCCCGGCAGCGCTCGGGCCACGACAGCCTCTGCACCCCACCGCTGCCAGGCACCCAGGGAAGGGGCTCAGCCCCCCAGGGACGGGGACAAGAGGCAATTTCAGGGATCCAACACCCCCAGACGCCCAAACCCGCTCCAAAGTTGCCCATGGCCGGGGCCAAGTCCCAAAGGCGATGAGCAGAGCATCCCGAAGGGGTGATGCCAGCCCCGCACCAAGCCGGGTGCCAGCTCCCACCTCTGCCACCGGGCACCCACGGGAGACGCGGC